GCTTGTTTGATTTTTCATTCCCTCCAGGAACTGCTTGAGAAGCAAGTTTGAAAACGGTTTCTATTCGTGCAAGTATAAAACTTGCTTTTCTTCAAAGCGTGGTAGGAGGAGGAGGAGGAAAGAGGCGCAAAATAACAAGCAGTTTATTCGCCGATTATATCAGTAGCATGGAATTTCCTGAGCAAATCGCTCGCCTCCATCCAGTTTGTTCACTTAGGTCTGCTGATTTTCTGTTGAGAATTCTAGTATATCATAGCGGTTTTTTATGCCACTAGTAATATTGCATCAATAAGCAAACCTTTTTCAGCATGTACATAATTTTTTTTTCATTATTGTACTTTTCAAAAATACTACACTTACTTTAATACTTTGACCAGCTACAGTCCAAAGCGTTGTCCTCTAAACAGGCAACCTTTCAAGTTTCTTTGACTAATGCTTCATCGCCTTGTGGACAGCACATTAGTTATTCTGACGTTTGTTTTGTCTGCTGAAGACATTCTAGCTTAGCGATTGAAAGAAACACTTTGGTAAAGATTCTGCGAACCTTTAGGACTTTGAATAAAATTTCAGACTTTTTCATCATCGGAAGTAAGTCAAGGAATGATGAGCGGAAATCCACTTCCCGAAGCGACGAGTTCACACGATGCATCTCTAGGAGTTGCAGAACCACCACCGCCACCACCGCAACCACCGCAACCACCATCATTGCCACCAGCAGCACCACTAGCACCACAACCAAGAATAATACCATCGATTGGCATCCATAACGATCTGGCTAATTTGAGCAGTCTCACGATTTTCCAGCAAGCGTGTATAGCTCATATGCAGGACTTGGAGGTTCATATTTTTTTGATTACAATTAAATAAAGCATCGGAGAATTTACGTATTTTAATATGGTATGAAGAGTACTATTGAAGCAGTATAAGGTAGAAAGGAAACCCAAGTTGGAGGGTGTGACAAGAATGACAGACAACAAATGGACAAAATGAAATGATGGATGCTTCTCATGTTAACAGAGGAGGAGTTTTCAGAACAATTCACTTGAACTTTCGGGAAGGGTTGATGAGGCGAGCACTGTAAATGCAGTTGACCATTAGAGAATTGACCATTTTGTACGGGCGGTCGATGGAGACGGCGATGAAGTATCAATGTACCTGAATATTTGGGACAATTGTTAATTCATGGTCTGGATCTGCATCAGTGTGACTGTCAGATTTTTGCATTACGAAAGTAAAATATTCATCACTCAACTAATAAATGCGTTCAAATAGCGTTTACTGATTTGAAAAATTTTTGCAGAACAAATTACATGCACTGGAAATGTGGCGTTTTTCATGCGCACACTGCAAGATGGCGTTCCAGGATGAGCCGCTTTACCATATCCATATGGGCTATCATGGCTATGAAAATCC